CTTGCGAATGACATGGTATGGGGTTTGAATCCAAGCCCTGCATTGATTCCTTTGGCAAGGCATTCATCTACTTTTGCCAATTTTTACCCAGGTGTTAATGTGTACCAGATCTGCTTGTGTGCTAGTTTTTGTAGCAGCTCAGCTATAGCCAGGGTAATAATATCTCAGCACCTTGAACATACCTTGACAGATACAAGTGTAAGAAGCCATTATTGCTCTTTCACTGTCCTGGGATATGTTTTACAAAGATCCGAAGTCAAACTTAACTCTAAGTTGGACCTAAATATTATGGAGAGCCATTTGAAGCCTTATAATAAAATATATTCAAAAGCAAGGAGTAAAGTATTTTAGACTTTTCATAGATTTCACATCAAGAACATGAAAATCTCCTTGATAAAGAAAATATGAATGATTTGAATCAACATTTTATGCCTTTTACAATAACTTTTACAAAATATTTGCATAGACGATAACGGCTTTCCATAATTGTTAAGTCCAACTTAGAGATAAGTTCAACTTAAGATCTTTGTGAAACACCCCCCTGGTACACACCTACACATCATGTAGCATTGTGTCACGTTTCTACTTGACTTCCACACAGTATCTGACTGAGTTGATGACAGCCTGTGGTGCCTTTGATAAGACCAGAGGGGAAGCAGAGTCGGTAGATGCCAGTCATTCTTTCACATCAGGTTTCCCACAGCTGAGTGGTTACACAGCTTTCTTAGTTCAGACACTCACCAAGATTCTTAAGCATCTCACTCAGGTAAGATTGAAAAGTCCTCTGGTACTGACATTTTCTCTCTAAAAACTTTTGTTTGAAGATGTTTGTTTCATTGTAGCATTGAAAATGTACCTATTTTGAACATAACATTATAATGCAACATTAAGAGTCATATGCTATGGAAAGCAAAGTGATATTAAAAAGGTGAATTTTTGGCATAAGTAAATAAACAGGACAATGTGTTTATAAGATGTTTTAACCATCCTGTTTAGAGTGAAACTCGGCTTGACCAGGAGAGAGAAGCAAGGCGTGGACTGGAACAGGAGACATCTCAACAGAGAAAGCTTATTGATGCCATGACTGTTGTAAGTACATATTCAATGATAACATATATTTTGTTTATACCTGGCATAATATTTTATGTGTAAATATTTAGTGACAAGGGCATGGGGGTTCTTATGTGTACTGCATGTCAGTTTGCTCACAGTTGACTTAGTGGAAATCCTGTATTTTTAATTGACAAAAAACATCCTGGTCACTATTCCATTTGTTTGGAAAAGAATATCGTGGAAGTGTTCACTTGATTAAAAGGGTTCATATCCCAGCCTGGAACTGAGGTCCTTTGGCAAGACATTTATCTATATTTGCCACTCTTCACCCAGGTGTAACTAGGGTATCTGGTATGTTAGTGCGCAGCATAGAGGGCTGCTCAACTATGACTTTGGTAATAATTTTGGAGCGTAAGGAGCGCTATGGCCTAACTGACTCAAGCACTGTTCAATAAGTGACCATTATTAATATTATATTTGTAATGGGGGGGGGGGGGGGGTAAGCATTTTCCGTTATGTAAATTTAATATATTATTGTGTAGGCCTATATATGCCACGTTTCCAACAACTCTGTCTATAAATAGGGTGCGTTAGAAATAGTTGCACTCTAAAAGGCATCGTTTAACAATGTTAAATAATAATAATAATAATAATAATATTGGATTCTTATATAGCGCACGTATCGACCTTGCAAGGTCCTCAAGGCGCTCCAACATTACGCGGCTATGCTAGGCTGCCGATTTCGACGCTCACAGCATTTCATAAATCTGAGATGCATGTTCCTACGTGTTATCAGTGTCTGTGATACGGTGTAATATTGCAGCCCTAAAAAAATTGCGCTTCAAAATGATTAAGAAGTGCCTCAAACAAGCAAAAATCTCGGAGTGACCGGTTTTACCATACTCATTTTCCCCTATAGACTGTTGTGTTAAGAAAAACCGTTTGGCAAACGGTTTTCAAAATTTGTAATTCCAATCATAAATATCTTGGTAATCAGACAGGAGATCGGCTTGTAAAGGTCATGGGGTTCCTGACTGACCTAAAGGTTTGTAATTATGATTGCAGCATGAGCTAAATCCAGAATTTTGTTTCAGAATCTGAGACAAAGTTACCGGATCCCTTTAAGCCTTGTTCATTCTTTTTTTCAGGACATGATGCAGTCTCAAGAACTGAACATTAAGATCCAAGCTGAAGCTAGGAAACAGATTAATCAGATGGAACAGAGACTACAGATTGTAGAGGTAAGACATCATCACAGGTGACAGTATGAAGAGCATCCTCATTCAGAGAGATCTAGTTTCTCCAATCGTTGATTCATGATCATGGGATACAGTTAAGGGATAGGTTCCCTGAACATTCATGCAGAAGACATGAAAATGGGGTCTTCATACATGTACAAACACTTTCATGGTAAATAACTTTTCTTTGGGTAATCAAGAACTATATCTCTCCCCTTTCCAAGAAGATAGAGTAATAATATTTATCTGAGTTGTATTGTATTTTCTTATTTTGTTCTTTGCAGCACTTGCTGGTCAACAGAGAATTTCTAGAGGAAAAGGTGTCGCCACGTACGGCTGGAAAAGATAAGGAAGGTATGTTTGATGTTTCAGGCCTTTTGAAACCGTCCATAACCCTATTACAAGCTGCTTATAGTGCAACACCTACAGGCTTCATGATATTATAGACTGCTACAAAGAAACAAGCAATATTTAGCATTGGCTAAAGATTACTAGGGACGATAGAACTAAAGAAGGCCATATTATTAGGGACTCTTAAAATGCATGGACCTTTATCAATGATTAGAAGCATGGCTCAGTGGTTGAGAAGTGGCTTTGGACTGGCAGGTCCAAGGTTGAAACCAAGCAGAAGTACTAGTGCCCTTTTCTACCCGGGTATTATTCCTCAATTCCTCCATGTTCCTTGGATAGGACCAAAAATTGTCAGTCCCCTGATAAACTTTTTTACAAGGATACTTTCTTTATTGACAGTCAGATAGCTCGTCCCATGATAGTAAGGTATCTAGCGAGACAGATGGCTGGATCCTACCCATTGCACTTTGTGTATGTTGATTGTGTTGTTCATCAGTATGCATACAAACAAATCTGTCTTGGTTCAACAAAAGTATTTGTGCTTCTCTTTATATGTATCTACTTACTGTTCAGCTGTATTGTTTGATTAACATTTGCATTTGTATTTTGCAGATATTCCAGAGCGAGGTCCAGGTTTTAGTCAAGATCCTGCTGTGTCCAAGCCAGTGTCAACAGCAACCACAGTTCATTCAACTACTTCAAATCAGTTCAAAACAGTCCAAAACAGTGGCCTTAATACTGGATCTTCTACAATGATTTCATCAGCTCTAGACTCTTTGCAAGCCACCCCCTTGACAAAATCCACACTGCCAATCAAAATTGCAGGACATATAGTGTCAGGAGTGACTGGGGCTCAATCTAACACCTCCCAAGTACAGTTCACAACAACTAGCTCATTAGCTACTTCAAGAAACGTTTTCAAAAGTACTACAGGTACAGGACACCAGGTCGCTTCTGGTCATCAAGTTCCTCACTTAAGCCAGCACACCATGGAGAGATTGATGTCCTCTCGCCCTGGACAGGGGAGAGGTAATGTACACTTTGAGGGGAATCTCAAAAATATTCAAACCAATGTACCTAGTGGAATGCAAAGCAGTCGGTTATTACAATCGGGTGATGACCAGAGAGCTATGGATGGGATTGGTAGTATGTCAGGGTTTGGTGTGTCATCGATGATTTCTTCAAGTGTGCTGAAAGGTACAGATCCTAGATCGCAGGGGAGCGGAACGTTTAAACAAGTGCCTGGTGCTTTTACCGGCTCAAGACAGCAGACAGATACCTTGACAACCTCTTCTGGTCAGCATCTCCGTCCGATCCAGCCTGCAATGCTGCTGTCTCCACCCAGGCAGAAGGATAGGAGAGACTTTATCAAGCCACCTGGCTACCAGTCTCAACCTCTCATGAGTGCACCGTACGGCATCACCCCTGGGGCAATCACCTCTACAAACATCGGCTCTAACCTGTCTGGTGGCCTGAAGGGATCCACCCACCAACCTCAAGCTGTGTTCTTCGGCAGTAGATCACAATTCTCTAATGACCCAAGTTATGCAGTGAGGAGTAGTGATCCTATAAACAAATCAAGGCATCCTCCACAAGCTCCGCTCCTCAACAACTACACCCCCAACCCTGATGGCCAGAAGGAAGGAGCACCTTCGACCATATCCATGGACAGCTCATCCACTCGATACCTCTCCCTTCCAGGAAACCATGGTGAAACCAATGTCGTCAAGAACATTCTACAACAGGGAGCCTCCGACACCACCAACAGACACCACCCATCTCATGTGCATCCAGACAGGGTAGGACCGAACGGGCAAGACCGCCAACATCAACAACTGTCAAGGAATGTGCATCCCATTGCCATGGAAACTGTCTATGAATCATCCCTAGATGGCACGGTAGAGCCTGCTGGACGAGAGGACAACTCTGTTGATATGAATGAGAAGATAGCATCCCTGTCTAGACAGAGGGTAGAAGCTCAGGCCAGACTGGAGCATCTCAAGGATGTGTATGGTGGAGAGGACGGCATGACTGCTCCTCAGAGACCTACTACCAGTGGAGGAGAAGCTACAGACCGAAGGATCTCCACCAAACCTACAGGTATGTTATCAGTCTCGACTAGCATCTGAATATGGCACATTTTTCCTTTAATCCTGTCTACACTAGTTTATCCAAGAGGGATTAGACCTCCCTGCAATGTCCCTGACAGGTGGATATCTCATCAAATCAGCTCTCAATTAACATAAGAAAAAGTGGATCATTAAGGACCAACAGTCACCGATTAGACATTGTTTGATATATAGAGGGCGCAAGTAGCTATATAAGTAGTGCAGAGAGGCTTTAAAAACTTTATGTGATCCAATGATTCTTTCTATCAGGAGATTCCAAATTTGCTACCATTTATCTTTGACTAATAGTGGTGTAAGTTTTCTTTAGATCTGTAAAATGCTTTATGTTGTTGTCCTTACCAGAACTGAACATTAGCTTCAAGTTATCAAATTATTGTGGCCTATAAAATACCATTCTAGCTCATACATGTTTAGACAGCGATTAGGTGAGAATTTTGTACATGTTTATTAAATTTGCACACATCATTTATATAAATGTATAAACATCACTGCTCACCATGTGACGGACAAGCTGGAGCATTATGTGCACGTAACCATTCCCAGTGACCTGTGATAATTCAAAGAAAAAATACTACTACGAATTCACAACTGATGGTTGTTCCCATATTTTCCACTATCAGGAGTGCTGATTGGAGCTTCACCCCCTGTTTCACCTATTGCAAGAGAGGTGCCATCACAGAGACCCATACCTACAGGAACATCACATGCAGCATCAGAGGGAAGAACCATGCATGTATCTATGCCAAAGCTTAGTGAGCTGGAAATCTCTGCAACAAGTACTCCTGCTTCCAAAAGGTAGGACTTAGAGATCATCATCATTTTTTTTTCTCTTTGCCTCTTCCATGAGGATTTATTTATATCTCACTATATTTACAGGTTATACATATTTACAAACATTTACAAAACACAAACAATATTTATCAAGGGTGAACAATGGAATATTCGCTGGAAATTACAACATATCAATTATTTTCTTCACTTTTTTGACATTGAATTGTTTAATTCCTTGGTGTTTCAGATGAGACTTACGTGATAAAATGAATTCAACGATCAGTTATACTTAATCTTAGGCTCCTTATAGTGGGACTAGTCACTGTGAGTGCACCATCTCATACCTCTAACAACAGCACAGCTTTAAACAAATTTTTAAAAAAATTACCACTGTCTTCCAAACACGCCAAAAAATGCCAAACCGGAGCCTGACTGCGATTTTAGCAAGGGCAACTACGCTTTACCGGCAGAAATGCCAAGCCCGAAACATTCCAAAACGAAGTGTGATCTTTTGGCGTGTTTGGCAAGTATGAATGCTCGCAGTTGTAATATCGCGATGTTAGGTCACGTGACTTTAGGAGCGGAAGTAGCTGTCGTCCTTGAAGAAAATGATAGAACAATGTAAACAAAGAATAACATAAGAGAAGGTGATAGAAGGAAGAAACAAAGAATAACATAAGGAAACACAGAAAGAGGAAGTGATAGAATGATGAAATAAACAAAAAAGAATAACATAAGAAAAGGTGATGGAAGGAAGAAACAAAGAATAAAATAAGGAAACACAGAAAGAGGAAGTGATAGAATGATAAAAAAACAAAGAATGACATAAGAGAAGGTGATACAGAAGGAAGAAACAAAGAATAACATAAGGAAACACAGAAAGAGGAAGTGTTAGAATGATAACAAAAACAAAGAATAACATAAGAGAAGGTGATAGAAGGAAGAAACAAACAATAACATAAGGAAACAAGGAAAGAGGAAGTGATAGAATGATAAAAAACAAAGAATAACATAAGGAAACAAGGAAAGAGGAAGTGATAGAATGATAAAAAAACAAAGAATGACATAAGAGAAGGTGATACAGAAGGAAGAAACAAAGAATAACATAAGGAAACACAGAAAGAGAAAGTGATAGAAGGAAGAAATAAAGAATAACAATAAAATGAGGTATTTGACAGTATAAATGCGCCTAGTCATTTAATTTGAATAGCTGGTAGTTTTTGTGATGCTGTGATAAAGTGTGACGTTTGCTTTAAAATAAGAGAAAGGAAAAAATTTGAAAGTACAGTGGATACTTACCTAGTTATATCAGGGTAAGAAAACAAAAGAATATAAAGAGGTGGGACCAGCAAAATCACCGTGTTATATCAGAGCTCTTTACAATAGTAATAGTATATTTGTAAAGCGCTTAGAGACATTTGTATTAAGCGCTATATAAAAATTTATACTCAAGTTTCACTGTACATGAAGTATCTAAATTAGGCAGTAAAAAAAATACTTATCAGTAATTAGAAATTCTCTCTTGAATCAATTTGCAAGATACTTTTAGTTTTTTTTTTTTTCTTCATTTCTAAAATTTGTAATAGCTCCTATCTTTTAACTCTGAGGGTTGTATGATCTTGTTGAAATATTTATTTGTATTACCAGAATGGTCAATCGCCACAATTTTGTTTTTGTTGTTGTTGAAGATCTGAATGTTAATATTTTAAACTTAATTTCTGTATAGGTCATCCATTGGAAGCGGTGGTCCCTCCCCAGGCATCAATCAACATGACTGGAAAACTCCCCTTAAGGTATGGTCATATTACTCTTTTCTTATTATTTCTTATCTCCTTGTTATCTGTTTTTACTCTGTCTGTCTGTCTGTCTTTCTCTCTCTCTCTCAGCCTGTCTGTCTGTATCTCCCTCTGTCTGTCTGTCTGTCTCTCTGTCTGTCTCTGTGTGTGTGTGTCTCTCTCTCTCTCTCTCTCTCTGCCTGTCTGTATGTATCTCCACATGTCTGTCTCTCTCTGTCTCTCTCTCTCTGCCTGTCTGTATGTATATCCCTCTGTCTCTCTCTCTCTCTCTCTCTCTCTCTGCCTGTCTGTATGTATCTCCATCTGTCTGTTTCCCACCATTCTCTCTCTGTTATATCCAGTCCTATCATTTTCTCTTTGTTTCATAAACTTGCAATATTTCCCTGTTTTTACTTCATAATCTCATTTCTGGATTGTCATAAATATTGAGGTCTCTTCTCATCTTATATCTTGCTACACCTACACATATTTCTCAGCATACAAATCTAAACATATAAAACTTCACAGATACTCTAATTTTGGTCAATTTTTCATTTTTGTTTTCTTCAAAGCAGTTTTCTCTTGTTTTTATCTTATTTAAAATACATCGGTCTCAAAATTGTTGTGAATAATTTGTATATAGATGTTATATGCGTAATTAGATAAAGTTGATGAAAAATACCTATATGATGCATGCACATTTACAACCAAACATAGTCTACCAAAATGAAATCAATTATTCAAAGAAAAATTAATACATCTTATTATTTTTCAGAATTCACCAGAGAAGGAGCAGTTCTTTGCACTCAAGGCCCACATCTCAACCTGATATCGTAACTGGATTCATCCCTAGAGCTTGATGTCCATGCTGCTCTCTATGATCTCATCTCTCATCCCATCTCTCATGCGGCCCCTGTTTCATAAAACTTGTTGTCAATAACGAGGTACGATAAAAGCTACTGAAATCCTTCCATTTGATCGGCTAGGATCACACTCGTGATAGAGCTGTGACAGTTATTGATAACAAGTTTTACGAAGCAGGGCTCTGGGTCATCATCCAAAATCGGTTGATTTACAGTCATTTGTTCAGGATTTGAACTATACAGCTTGGTGGCTGCAACACAGGTTTTGAACGGATATACCTTTATAATTTATAATAACTCACTCAATTTTGACCAACCATCCAGGTAACATTACACAATTAATCCCATTTTACTATGCAGTGGAAGGTTTTTATTTTGCAATTACTTTCAAAAGTTGCATGACAAGGTTATGTCACTATCTGGGGCAGTTGCATGGCATTGTGGAATGTGATAGACTACCGGTAACTCCATCCTCAGAAAAAGAGGGGATATGGGAGGGTGAAAAAAGAGAAAAGAAGTAAGATTTTTCTTTTCTTTTTAGATACTGAAGTTATTTCTTAACTTTCCGTAATTTTGTTGTAACCCCCATGTAATGATTACCCTTTGCACTTGTAAGTAAAAGTTGTGTAGTTGATGTATCCATCAAAAATAAGGAAAAAAATAAAAATATTTGTACACTCCATTCTGTCTACCGGTATGTACTTCTGAGATCCCTTACATGGCTTTGATTGTTAATAATTCTTATACTCTTACAATGAAAGTAATATTTCAGGGAGTGGTATACATAGTTGTCTCTAGAATAGTATAGTAATGCAAGGTATGATAGTCTATGGGGGTGGTCATCCTTATACAAATGCTGCCCTCTGTAGGTCATGCATGCAAGTCCTGTCTCACCTACAAATAACATGTATATGTATTATCAATCACCTGAGGAAAGATGGGTACAGAGAAAAAATATTTTAAAAATCCTAGTCTACTTTAACTTTTTTCTACATATCATGTGTACATGTATGTTTTATGTACTTGAGAATTAAACAAAATAATTTTTGATGTTTACTACTGTATATGACACGTATAGTATGTGACCAGTCGCGTCAAAAGGAGACAGAAGTTACATTTTTTCAAATTCTATTTTATGATCGATTCTGATTCTCTGCTTGGATTTGATATACACTTAACTCTAGGGAGGGAATATTAGTGGAGATAATAACCTTTACACAGCGAGAGGAATAGCCTTTTAGGGTTTTAAAAAGTACTTTTACAAGAAAAAAATGCTTCTAAAGATTGACTTCCGTTTAGTCTTCAACCTTTAGAATATTTCATTTTACTTTCTATTTCATTTTGGCTTTTGTATGCTTCTTCTTCATGGCTTCCCTGTGTGCATTTCATGCTTTCTGTGCTGCTAACAAATTGAGTTCCTTTGCCCTTCGCTTTGCAACTAGTTTAAGTGAAGGGTCAATTCTCTGAATAAACTTAAAAATTGGATTTCTTACAACAGCTTGACATGCAGATATATTAACATCTGCAAACGATTTACTCGCACTAGAGTGCCTAGGTATATGTAAGACCATCATCATATCATCATTATAGGTTGCCGTAAGCTTCTGTATACTGCTCTTTTTATACCTAATCCAAAGATGTGCAGTATATAAGAGTGTACAATAAGCTTGAATGAATTCAAACTTTACGAGAGCACATATGAAACTTTCTGCACAACTTTTATCTATATCATCACACAGGTCTTCAGTAAAATAACGACTTATGTACTTGGCCTCTTTACAAATATCAAGTTTAGCACCACACAAATACAAATTTGGAATTTCCAACTTACAATTGATTGATTGATCAATATACTAGCATATACTAGCATATACATACAAATCTTCCCATACCTGCAGTATGCAGCAAAATGTTGTGGCTTCTTTCTTGCCGCGGGATCTTGAACTATTTCGTTCAGTCAAACTAGTTCATCGAATGAGCTGGATGGAAGGTTTGGAAGCCCGGCCTCTTCCTCATCAGCAGCAGTGCGTAATCCTCCTCCCAAATTTGCCTCAGCAAGCAATTGCAGTACTTGTGACAGCATCTGCTCTTGCCCGTCTTGTTTCTGTTTTATCGTCTCCAAGGCAGCAAACATCCTGGTCATAGCTGCAGTCAAGGGTGTATTTTCCTCTGATGTTGAACTTCTAACAGCTCCTGGGGTCTTATTGACTCTAAAAGTATTCATAGATGGTAGTGGATTTTCCTCTGCAGTTGAAGTTCTGGCTTCCAATAACCTACTAATCTTCCCATGTCTACAGTATCCAGCAAAATGCCTTGTCTTCTTTCTTGCCGCGAGATCTTGAACTTTTTCGTTGAAACGAACAAGTTCATCAGATAGTTGCATGGAAGGTTTGGAAGCCCCTCCTCATCATCAGCAGTAGCCCGTAATCCTCCGGCCAAATTGGCCTCAGCAAGTAGTTGCAGTATTTGTGAGAGCATCTGCTCTTGCCTGTCTTGTTTCTGTGTCATAGCCTCCAAGGCAGCAAACATCCTGGTCATAGCTGCAATCAGGGGTGTATTTTCTTCTGATGTTGAACTTCTAGCAGCTCCTGGGGACTTATTTTCCTCGGCAGTTGAAATTCTGGGAACTATGACTGGGAACTCATTGGCTCTTGCAACTGGAGGATGTGGTGGTGTTGGGAAATTTACTGTTCTTCATCACTTTCAGAGATTGTGTCAAGACTGTCATCAAACATGTCACAGTCATCGTCGTCCTCTACATGTACTGTATGTATCTTGAAGGCAACTTCCGCTTCTGCTTTCTGAAGCCCAAATCATCCTCACAATCACTTGGATTGCTGGTTACGACCAATTTTGAGCACCTTTTATGGGATCTTGAACTATTTCGTTCAGTCGAACTAGTTCATCGAATGAGCTGCATGGAAGGTTTGGAAGCCCCTCATAAACAGCAGCTGCAAGTAGTTGCAATATTTGTGAGAGCATCTGCTCTTATCTGTCTTGTTTCTGTTTCATAGCCTCCAAAGCAGGAAACATCCTGGGGATTGCTGTAATCAGGGGTGTATTATCATTATCATTTGGATCCAATCCACATTTCAATTCATCATTATTAGCACATAATATATCCTGTGTGACATTATCAGAAACACTGGAAATGTTCGCCATCGTGTCAAAGTCAATCATTATTTACAGATAAAATTATGAATGTACATCAAGGCAGAAGCATACTAGGCCCTACTTAATTTTGTTGAGATCCTCTTCTCGATGGATGGCTATCGGTGGCATATTGGGGTTCTTCCTCACGAGGATGGTGCCATTCACAGTCCATAGGAATCTCCAGCCAGCCTTCTTCCTTTCCTCATTCACCTTCCTCAGTAGTGACCTCATTGCCGGGGCAAGAGAAGCCCAGCTCCTGAGTAGTTGTCTCCCTCAGCTTCTTTCAACTAACATATACTACATCTCTCATCCTCCTGGTTGTAAATCGCACTATGATTAGTCTTGGACTTGAACCAGAAACACCTTCTCTCTTACGGCCTAGACGATGGGTTACATCAATGTCGGTGTAGTTCACCTCTGGTGCAACCACCTTCAACACTTTCAATACCGACTCCCTCACATTTTCACCTTCCTGTTCTGACACACCCGCCACTTCCAGATTACTTCTCCGATGATACTGATCAAGGTCATTCACTTGATCCTCTAGTGCCGTCAACATTTTGCTGTAGATCCGCGTTTTCCCTCTTTACAGACTTGTTGTCGTCCTTCAGTCTCTTAACTTTGTTTGTCGGTTCGTCTACTCTACTGCTGCAGAACTGATGTTGAACTTCTAGCAGCTCCTGGGGACTTATTTTCCTTGGCAGTTGAAATTCTGGCAGCGGTGACTGGGAACTCATTGGCTCTTGCAACTGGGGGAAATGGTGGTGTTGGGAAATTTACTGTTGCTTCGTCATTGTCAGAGATTGTGTCAAGACTGTTATCAATTATCATTTCACAGTCAGCGTCGTCTTCTATGTATCTTGAAGGCATCTTCTGCTTCTGGTTTCTGAAGCCCAAATCATCCTCACTATCAATTGGATTACTGGTTACAACCAATTTAGAGCACCTTTTATTAGCACGATCCATGCCTGTTAATTAACTTGAGAATTGTAGCTAGAAGTTTTTTGTTTTTTTTTAAACTTGAGTTCCTTCCTCATAAATTCACAGTACAGGAAATGATCACAATAATTAATATAAAACAAGATCTACGATACAAGACACTTCTTAAATAACATTCATCAATGAACAACATAGACAAATCTCAGATTATACATGATTGTACATTTTTTCTTTCATATAACAGTTTATGATTAATAGAGGAAGGTTTGAAGTTACGTAGTTCAATCCTACACTCTCACACCAACAAACTCATGACACCCCCCCCTTCCCCCTTCTCTCTCTCTCTCTCTCTCTCTCTCTCTAGCACACCCACGTCGCACACCCTTTCACACACACACACACACACGCACACTGACCACACGATCTTTTGCTCTCGGCTTTCTAAAATCACACACTTTTGATCTATACACTTCTGGTTTTCTCTTTTGAAAGTTGACTTTCTTTTGTGTTCGCTCTCTACTTCCATCCAACGGCGAGGTGAAGTGGAAAGAGCCGCATCATGAACAAATCTTTTGTTTAATGATTATCTTATCTCCGCCCTAGTTAACTTGGATCTTTAGAAGACAAAAAACATTGATTTGTTGGTGTCACATGCCATTATTCTTTCTTTTAAAAAATACTTGTTTCACAATCTCGATACCATTCCTGGTCCTCTTTGAAATCCTCTCTTTTCTCTCCACTTTTTGAAAAGAGCTATATAATGTCCCTTTTTTAGATTAAGAGGTAAAATACCCCCTGGTCAGAGAATCTTTTGTTCTCTTCTTAATCACTCTAATGAAACCTCACCACGTTTCCTGTTCTTTCTTTTAGTTGTCTTTTGTACCTCCTCTTTACTTCTATAAAACAGCAAGGTCAAGCTAAAACCGTTCTCCCAATGAATAGACCTTTTGTTTGTTGATTATCTTTTCTCCAAAGTTAAGTCAAAGTTGACCTTTATTCATCCATTAATTTAAAGCTCTTTTGAAATGAACGAAAAAGAATAGAAAGGTGGCTTTTTAAAGGAGAAGAAATGTTTCAATTCTTATTTTTGTACAAGCGGCAATTCTAATAGATTTTCTAGAAAGCTTGTTAAAATAAGAATTAAAACGTTATTGATATATTTCACTCCTCAATCTCCATCTACATCACGCATTTATAATCTAACCATTATTTCTCTCTTTAAAAAAGGTATTTTGGAAGGTTCATTTAGAAACGGTCCGAAAATTAAATGTTCTGAAAATGTAAAGTTTACAATTCCTAATGCTCTCATTCCGAAATTGCAATGGAAGCCTTCATGTATCGTTTCCGGCATTATGAACATTCAGAATTATGAATACTTCACCCTTTTTTTTTGTTGACTTCTACTCTAGCCTTGCGAATTCTGTCTCCTTTTAACGGGTCACATTATTATGTACTTGATTTTTTTTTAAAGGTGTTTTGAAAATTTGTCCATTTTTTCTTAGTATATTTAGTTGTGATTTAATTATATGGAAAGTATACTTCACAATCGA